CCCCAAAACCCCAAAACCCCAAAACCCCAATATTAAAATTAGCAGAGATTATATAATTTCTTAAATAAACGAGTGATGAAGCTCAAAATAGGACAAAAAATTGGCAAAGGAGGTCAATCTGAAGTGTTTGAAGCTTTAGATGATAATAATAATAAATTTGCAGTCAAGGTATTTTTTGAGTAAGTTTTTTTAGTCTTTGGACTTCACATACACTTATTAACTTATAATAGCGAAGGACCATTTCAGAATGAGTTGGAGGTAATGAAAGCAATAGGAGAAATTAATTCTCCCAATCTTTCTAAACTAATTGCTACATCTGAATTTGATAACGGGTCTCATGGAATTGTCATGCCATTGTTAGGCAAGAACTTCCGGATATGAATCAAAGCATCTGAGGATAAGAATGTTACCTCTATAAAGTACGCTACCCAAATGATAGATGCAATTGAATGCCTTCACAAATGAGGCTACATCCACTGAGATATTAAGTCCGAAAATTTCATTGTATCCCAAGACATGGATACTATAACTTTGATCGACTATGGTCTTTGCCATAGATTTCAAGATAGAGATGCTATTTATCAATTTTTTATTCAAGACGAGGACATATAACTAGTAAAGTCGATCTCAATTCTAATAATGCAAATAATGGTGAGAAGAAATCCACCCAAAAATACTTCAAAGGAACTTTAACCTATGCCTCCTTGAACTGAATGAAAGGCAAAGTTCATAGCTATAGAGATGATCTTGAAAGCCTCGCTTACGTTTTGCTCTATGCCAAAGTCGGATCACTGCCATGGCAGAAGCATAGAAAAATTATTGACATTGGTAAAACGCTATTAATACCTAGCTCCTGACATTTATTATTTAGAAGACAAAAGGGAGAAGATATATGAAGAAAAATTCAACTTTTTGAAAACCTATAAACCCGAGGATTATAAAGAAGATATCACAAATGTAGTAAAATTTCTAAAATACGCAGTCTCTCTTAAAGAAACTGAAATTCCTGATTATGACTACTGAAAGGACTTATTCGCTCGAGAAATGAAGAGGTAGGTCGAATTTAATAATTGTAGAATGAATTCTCCCTTAAAATACAAAAAGGATTTGTTTGAATTTATGAGATGCTCTGATATCTCATACTCAAAGAAACCCTCAATCTCATGATTTAAGGATAACCAGAGCTTCAATGCTACACCCTTTGGGTCATTTAAGAACAAAGTTATATGAATAAAAGACTCTGATGATAATATTGTTGGTAAAGATGAACAAGATAGTGAAAATCAGGATGTTATTTTCTATAATTAAACCCACTTTCCAGAAAAAGCAGAATCACGGTTCAGACAAGGTAATATTACCTAAAATGAGTAATAATTCATCGAGAGACTTACATGATAATACTTTACCTACCAAAACTCAGTCAGCACATAAGAAGAATCATGGCAGAAGTAATAAGTGACCAAGTCCTGCCAATGATGAGAAAATGATCTTAGGATCAGCGGAGGATCTTCTTAACAACGAACTTATGAAGAAGATTATAATTGCTCCAAAAGTAAACCCAAGATTACGAATAATCAAAGAGGAGGAGCAACGGTTTTCAAATTCCTTTGTATTCACTCCCAAAGATGAAACAATCAAGAAGCTTGATGACGAATGAAATGATTTATCAGCTTCTCTCTCAGTGCAATTCCACCCTGTAAAACGGAAAGAGGAGAATAAGAGTACATCTTCTCATTGAGAAGACTTGAAATCAAACGAGCTAACGGAATTTTATCAATATTCATCTCCTCAGGGTAAGTCTTCACCATTATTTGTAGAACATGATTATGATAAAGAGATCATGAACGAGGACTTTGTTTACCGGCCAAAGGATCTAAAGCTGTACAATACCTCTGATATTTCAGGAAGTGGGAAAGCTAGTTTCAGTTCTTAATCACAGCATAACCATAATAGCCTTTGATATATATTAAAATAATAACATTCAAGGTTGGTGACTTAGCCAGGGGTTTTGGGGTTTTGGGGTTTTGGGGTTTTGGGGTTTTGGGG